TTTTTTTTTTTTTGTATTTTTAGTAGAGACAGAGTTTTGCTATGTTGGCCAGCCTGGTCTCGAACCCCTGACCTCAGGTGATTCACCTGCCTCAGCCTCCCAGAGTGCTGAGATTACAGGTGTGAACCACCGCGCATCTGGCCTAAAATATTTTAACCCAACCACTTAAAGTTATATTTAAAATATTTGTCAGGTATTATGGGCAATATAGAAACAAAAAAATATTTATTCACCATCAGTCTTTGAGATTTTTTATTTTAGCACTTGTCACTCTAGTTTATCTCTTCTCTCTCTCGAAATGTACCCTATAAACCAGCCAAACCAAACTGTTCGCAATTTCCCAAAGTTGTTACTTTCACTTTTCTGCACGTAAGCAGTAGTCAATGCATGGAAATTCTGTAAGACTGCTTCAGAGAGTCTGACTTCAGAGCATTCCTGGCTTTTATTATTATAGTATAAGGTAGAAATGATTCCTTAACATATGAGTAAAATTTGGTGGCTGTCTTCTTAGGAAATAATGTCATTTCCAAAAGAAACTAATATCAATGCATCTTAGTGAGCAACTTTCTTTTTGGATGGCTAGTTGTCTTCATATTCTTTCAAAAAACTGGAAATTCATTATTCATCTTGGCTCTTAATTTTTCATTTTGACATACCTGGGTCTGGAGTATAAGTGAATGGTTGAACGTCATGAGATCTTCCAGCATTCGTCACTACATATATTCCCACTGATACAGGCAAAGTTATATGTTGATCATGATAGGGGGGAACCTTCACAATAAGATGATTCTAATATAAAGAAAAGTACAAGAGTTGGAAAATATTTTTTAAAAATTAAATTAAGTATATTTCATGTTAACTATAAAGTTTAAAAAGTGACTTTTTTTTTTTTTTTTTTAATAGAGATGGGGTTTCACCATATTGGTCAGGCTGGTCTCGAACTGCTGACCTCAGGTGATCCACCCGCCTCGGCCTTCCAAAATTCTGGGATTACAGGCGTGAGCCCCATGCCCAGCCTAAAAAGTAATTTTTTCTTTTTTTTTTTTTTTTAAAGAATGTATCTTAAAGCTCAGGGTCACAGGCATCAGGATATTAATCTTAAGACAGCTTTTAAGGTAAAATCCAAGTGTTTTACAATGGCTTACAAGGTCAAGATCCCTGCCCTGTTAACTTCATGTCATTCCCGCTCTTCTAGTTCACTATACTGTAGACACATTGACCTTAGTCTTCTTTTAACATACTAAACTCAGTTTTACCTCAGATTCTGTTTGTTATTCTTTTCAACTGTAATATTCTTCCCTCACCTCCTCAAATGGTGAGTTCCTAACCCATTATCAGGTCTGATACAAATGTCACCTCAGAGAAGCCTTCCCTGATCATCCTATTTAAAGCAGTACCCCTCCCCAGCCTTATAATCTTGTTGTATTTCCATAATAGCACTTATCATCACCTGAAATTACTCTGGTTGATTTTTGGTTTCTCTCCAACCACAAGAATGTAAGCTCCATGAGGATCTAGGCTGTTTTGTTCTTCACTGTCTCACTTGTAAAGAATAGTACCTTACATAAAATATACACAATTATGTTCATTGAATAAAAGAATGACTTATGAGAAAAAATATATGCCTACCAAGGGCAAAGTCGGTTACCATATATTCTGTACAACCTCAATGTGAGATGTACTTCACAATGCAGTTCACTACTCCTAACCACATAATTCTCATTTTAAGTCAAACTGGGTTCAGTTTATCCACATCTCAGTAAACCAAAGATGTTTTTAGTTGGAATAGTGGCAGAAGCATCCTTATAAGAGAAAGGCAGAATTCATAAACATTTCACCAGTACTTACCCAAGGGGATTATATCTTAGCTAGTAATATGAACCATATTTGACTTTTTTCTTCTTCCCTAGCTTATTATAATGGTAAGGGATATCATAGGATAGTGATTACGGTTTTTTACTAATGATCTGATTTGCAGGAGGCCAAAGCTGACAGCTGAGGGTGATGTGAATTTGATGACATTTGAAATTAAGTTAGACTATATAGTTGGTTGACTCAGTTGAACAGAAAACATGCGACAAATGAGATTAAGGTCAAGGTTTCCATTTCTGAGAATTTAATTTGTTTCTGAGCCATATTAAAACACTCTCTGAAATACAGTCACATCATAAATAAAGAACTAGGCCAGGTGCAGTAGCTCATGCCTGTAATCCCAGCACTTTGGGAGGTGGGTGGATCACTTAAGGTCAGGAGTTTAAGACCAGCCTGGCTAACACGGCAAAATGCTGTTTTTACTAAAAATACAAAAAATTAGCCGGGGATGGCGGTATACACCTATAATCCGAGCTACTCCAGAGGCTGAGGCAGGAGAATCGCTTGAGCCGGGGAGGCAGAGGTTGCAGTAAGCCAAGATGGCGCCACCGTACTCCAGCTTGGGCAACAAAAGTGAAAAACAAAGGAAATGAAGAAACAAAGGAGGAAAGGAGGAAAGAAAGAAAAGGAAAGAAGGGAGGGAGGGAGGGAGGGAATGAGAGGAAGGAAGGAAGGAGAGGAAGGAGAGGAAGGAGAGGAAGGAAGGCAGGCAGGCAGGCAGGCAGGCAGGAAGGCAGGAAGGCAGGCAGGCAGGCAGGCAGCTAGCCAGCCAGCCAGGCATGGTGGCTCACGCTTGTAATCCCAGCACTTTGGGAGGCTGAGATGGGCGGATCACAAGGTCAGGAGTTAAACCCCTCCATCTCTACTAAAAATACAAAAAATTAGCTGGGTGTGGTGGCACATGCTTATAGTCCCAGCTACTAGGGAGGCTGAGGCAGGAGAATTGCCTGTGCCCAGGAGACAGATGTTGCAGTGAGCCAAGATTGTGTCAGTGCACTCCAGCTTGGGAGACAGAATCTCACTCTGTCTCAAAAAACAAAAACAAAAACAAAAAAAGAAGAAGGAAGGAAGGAAGGGAAGGAGGGAGACAGGCCAGAAAGAAAGACAAAAAGAGAAAGAAAAAAGACAAGAAAGAAAGAGAACAAAGAATGAACAAATCAACTGGCTAGCTTCTAATTTACGGCATTAACAATGCCTCCTGTTAGCCATCTCAAAAAAAAAAAAAAAAACATTCTTTTAAACTAGGTGGAAAATCATGTACAAATATGCATACATCCACATTATGAGGCAGGAGCTATATCTAAACGTATACAAGCTCATAAAAAAATGTACGGGTATTGATCAAATTTCTGAGAAACAGAGTTACTAAATCTTGTCTACCCTCATTTTTACTCAGTTGTTGAAGCAGTCTACCTAGAGTTAAGGAGATCGGTGGATGAACAGCTTGTGAGAGCTTCTACTCTTAAAATTATTTGGCAAACTCCACAATTCAAATTATTCTTTTGAATAGAAACTTTTTTCTTGCCAATTAGTAACAGGATTAGTATCTAAAAATCAGATGCATATTTTATCAAAATACTTTTACTCCACTTGCTTTGGAGAGCATATTTTAAAAAACTGATTTGAAGCCTTTTAAAAACCAAACGAGCCTATTTTGCTACTAATTCTTCAAACTTCCCCAATCTGAATCTAGAAATTCTACAACTGATCTGAATTAAAAATTAGGTAAACTGTGATTCATGATCAAAAGCTTTTTTTTTTTTTGAAATGGAGTCTCACTCTGTTGCCAGACTGGAGTGCAGTGGCGTGATCTCAGATCACTGCAGCCTCCGCCTCCTGGGTTTAAGTGATTCTCTTAATTCTTTTGCCTAGCTAATTTTTAAATTTTTAGTAGACACAGGGTTTCACCATGTTGGCCAGGACAGTCTCGTTCTCTTGACCTCGTGATCTGCCCATCTCAGCCTCCCAAAGTGCTGGGATTATAGGCATGAGCCACCATGCCTGGCAAAGCTATTTTCAATACTCTTCTCATAAATTAGGTCAATTAACCATCACTGAGCTAGGAATGCAATATATACAAAACACACAAAGGGTTAGGAGGCATCTGGAGCAGGTATAAGGCTCTTTGGGATAAAAAGAGGAAAACAGTTGAATTTTAATTTCTTTTTTTCCAAGACGGGGTTTCAACCATATTGGTCAGGCAGGTCTCAAACTCCTAACCTCAGGTGATCCGCCCGCCTCAGCCTCCCAAAGTGCTGGGATTACAAGCATGAGCCACTGCAACCGGCAAACTTTAATTTCTTAGAAAGATTTGCTTAGATTCAAAATAACTTTTTCCTTAGCAGATAAGCTTTTTCAGAGTGTGTCAGCAATGGTGCTAGATATCTTTCACTCTCCTATGAGATACTTTTTCTTTGTCACATTAATTTTACAGTTTGGAATATACATAAACATATAATTAGACTTGAACAAAGAAAGACCCATTACAAAATTACTATTAGAACCGATTTGAAAAACATAACCTCTAAACTTTCAAGTCTTTGTTTAGTCTAGTTGTTCCTACAAATTCTTCTGAGGATCTGTTTTTTGTACTTCTTTCAAGAATTTTCTTTCTACATTTATACTATCTTCCCCTGAGCTATCCTTTTATGTATATTTGTATGTATTATACAGATTGAATATCCCTTTATGTACAGTCTCCTTATCTATATTATAAGAATAACAATTATAATACAGCATTATAAGCAAGGGAGTCTACATTAATCTAACCAACGTTGTCAAGAAACAAAACATGTTCAGAGCATATAAAAGTACTGCATGAATAAATTAAGTTTCAGTTAGGATTAAAACTCTAGGTATTTAAGGTCCTGGCTGAAATTAGGGTTTGAAGTATCTCAGAAAGAACAAATGAACCTTACTTAGACCACAGAGTCACCCATCTTTTTCTTCAAGGTGAATAAAATAAAATGAACTAAAAAGTTTTTCTTGGCCAGGCATGGTGGCTCAAGCCTGTAATCCCAGCACTTTGGGAGGCCGAGGATGGCGGATCACAAGGTCAAGAGATCGAGACCATCCTGGCCAACATGGTGAAACCCCGTCTCTACTAAAAATACAAAAATTAGCTGGGCGTGGTGGTGTGCGCCTGTAGTCCCAGCTACTTGGGAGGCTGAGGCAGGAGAATTGCTTGAACTCAGGAGGCGGAGGTTGCAGTGAGCCGAGATTGTGCCATTGCACTCCAGCCTGGGTGCCAGGCAATAGAGTGAGACTCTGTCTTAAAAAAAAAAAAAGTTTTTCTTGTGTGCCTATTAAGTGTTTGGAATTACAAGGAACACAGAAAAATTATAATACATTGCCTCTAACCTCCAGTACTCCAGAGGAAGTTATTTGTTGGTTCATGGGAATGGAGATAGTCTGACCAAATATAAGAAATAATAAAATATTAGAGAGAAGGAGCCTCAAATAATCCAATGAAAGAGCTTATCTTACAGATCAGAAAATTGGGGCACAAAAATTACTTGTCTTACTTAGTTAACACAGATTGCTAATGACAAAGCAGGTATTAGAACTTTAGTTGGCCATGTGTGGTGGTGGTAATCCCAGCACTTTGGGAAGCCAAGGCAGGCAGATCCCAGGGTCAAGAGATAGAGACCATACTGGACAACATGGTGAAACCCTACTCTACTAAAAATACAAAAATTAGCTGGGTGTGGTGGCATACGCCTGTAGTCCCAGCTACTCAGGAGGCTGAGGCAGGAGAATCGCTTGAACCTGGGAGGCGGAGGTTGCAATAAGCCAAGATCACACCACTGTACTCTAGCCTGGGCGAAAGAGCGAGACTCTATCTCAAAAATAAATAAATAAATAAATAAATAAATTTAAAAGAAGAACTTTAGTTAAGACTAGTCTGACAATGAACCCTAGGAGATACTGCCCAATGATCTGTGTGACAAAAGGAACGTTTATTAATTCCCACTATCTCTTTTCCACAACATGAGGCTAGTAGCATAAGGCTAGAGGAAAACTTGTCACATAGCATTTGTTTAGGTATATAGAAAGCTCCACACTATAAATATTGTGTAAGAAATAAATTTACCCAGAGAGGGTTCTGGTCTTTACCTTTTTGGCTGCTAGGAGTTGATCTCTAGGTTCCTGCAGTGTCTTGTATGACAATGATCTTTACTTGAGAGCTTTGGTCACTGGACAGTCTAACAATGTGATTTATAACAGAGGCTTTGGTCACCGGACAGTGTAACAACGTGATTTATAGCAGAGGCTTTGGAACACACCATATCAATTCCAACCTCATGGAAGTGAAGACCAAAGGTCAGCTGCATGGGCAGTATATGATCAGGTCTGAAATAACAACTCTGGACACCAAAGGCTTGGGTAAACTTCCCTGGTTGGTAATTCTCTGCATAGTTGTTACCACACATTGCTATGCTGAGATGGTAATGTCTTCTTGAGAATGACAGAAGGTTGGTGTCCAGGACACTCCTAAACCTTGGTTTATGCATCTCTCCCTTTAGCTGATTCTGATTTCTATCCTTTTGTTACAAAACTATAGGCACTAAGTATAGCACTTTCCAGAGTTCTGTGAATTGTTACAGGAAGTTACCAAATCCAAGGGGACAGTGGAAAAAACCACTGTTTGAGCCACTCGTTCAAAAAGAGGGTGGCCTAGGGACCTCTGAACTTGTGTCTCGTGTATGAAATGGGAGCAGTCTTGGCTGTGCCCTGAGCTTTGAGTCCGGCAATATATTGGATACAAGTTTTAATTTTATTAGGTTTTTAAAAATAGGAAAACAAGGAAATTATAAACTTTTTGGATAAAATGGATATATATTGTCCATTTTTTTGCCTCTTCTATTTCTCTGCCTTCCTTCATGTGCTCTTTTCTATCCCCATCAGCTTCTTGCACTAAATTTTAGGCTTTAGGTAATTTACACATCAGCTTGTTCCTATTTCTCTCTTCTCTCCTATCTACACCTGTACATACTACCTTTTCTGCATGTGCCTTCCAACTTGCTTATAAAGTTGGCCTTCTGTTAGTCTTAATTTCTATGGGTTTGGTCCTATCTCCTCTAAATACTAATTCCTAATTCAGGTCTTGATCCTTGTTTTCAAGTTTTCATTGTTACTTGGAAACAATACATGGCTTATAGACTCTTTAATATCAGTGTGATGAGTGCTTCTAAACGCAAAAAGGCTGAACAAACATAGAGCACCTGAAATGTAACAGATTCTCAATAAATATTGGTTTCCCTTTTATTTAACTATATAGTGGAGTAAGATTATTCAAATCCTCAGAGAAATAAATATTAGGAAAGAAATGTTTTGTTTATTAACAATGAAAACATTTGCTACTGCTCCTAACTTTTTAAAATAGAGGCAGTCATGTTTAGTATTAGGAAAATAATTCTATTTCAGTTAAAGAAGCTTAAGAAAGAAACTTTTAATGATTCACATCATCCCATATGAAGAAGAAATTTAATCTATTGATTCAAGAAATTTTCAGAACAAAACTGAAATGCTCAGAGAGTAAACACAAATTATAAAAAAGCTTAGATTATACCTGATGAAATAATTCCATGTCAATTTCAGCTTCTGACTTCCAAGAGTTTTCATCTGATTGAAAAAAAAAAGTGATTTATTAAATTTTTGAACTTTTTTTTTTTACTCTCTATGACTATATCCAAATAACAAAGTGAAAACATGCAAATATCTATACCCCAAATATGCCTACTTACCAGAAACATTTTCTTGGAAAATAACTTTAGTTCCTTTCAGAAAGTTCTTGCCGATTAAAAACACTTCTTCTTCTCCTTTCACTGAACAGCTATGCAAGCTTTTCTTCAAGATTTCTGGCACTCCTGCTGGCTGAGCTGTGGATATACATTTATAAGCATT